AAGGCCAGCCTCAGCAACTTAGCAAGACCCTGTCTCAAAATAAAAAGTAAGAAAAGGACTGAGGATGTAGCTCAGTGGTAAAGCACCCCTGGGTTCAATCCCCAGTACAAGAAAGAAAAAGAGAGAGAGAGAGATAAGCTATTCCTCCTTCTTTTACTGATTAATTCAATTATCTATTTCCATCAGAATGGACTCATGGATATTTATGGGTTATAATCCATTACTATCATTATTTATTGTTATTCATATTGTACCTGAATTGGCCACTGGGGCTTATTCAAGTCGACTTTTGCGATCTTTTAATATCCCCCATTATTTTTGAGCAGTTCTTGCTTTCTGACACTACAATATATTCTAGGTTCATCTTGTACTTTCTTACCCCAGCCCTGAAATCAGTCACTTCTACAGGGAACCCAGGTTCCTTTCATGGGAAAATGCTGTTTTACAAATGATGGGCAATACATACAACCTTTGCTAGTGGCTGCCATTACTTCTAGACTCTCTAATGGACAGAGCTGGGAAATAACAACATTAATGTACTACATTTTACAAATCAGGTAAACGAGGCACAAATGAGTTAAGCTGGCTAAAATCACAAAGCAAATTTATAGTAGAACTGGGAAACCAAAATAGTGATAGATGTACCACAATTCCTAACAAGTAACTTTTGTTGTTGTTGTTGTACTCTGGATTGAACCCAGGGGCACTTAACCACTGAGATAAGTCCCCAACCCTTTTTTTAACTTTATTTTTTTTTCACTATCACCATATTACTTCCTGAGCCCCATAAATTCCAAGAAATATTTTTACTTTTTTTTTTAATTTTGAGAGGATCTTTCTAAATTGCTGAGACTGGCCTCAAATTTGTGATACTTCCACCTCAGCCTCCCAAATTGCTGGGATTACAGGTGTGTACCCCAACTAACAAGTAACTTTTTAACAAATAAATGCCTTTTAGCAGAAAGCTCCATATCTAATATTCCAGCATAGACACCATTTTTGAAAAATAACTAGAAGTCCACAGTAATAATCACAATAATAATCACCATGTACTGAAGGCCTGGCTGCACTCACGGTACCTCGTAATTCCTCAGAACTCTGCAAAATGGAGACCACTATTCTCATTTTACTCAAGGGAAATCGAGAATCAAGGAAGCAGAGGGACTTGTCTAGTTAAGTGACGAAGCCAGCCGCTAACCCCAGGTCTATCTGGATATAAAGGCTCTGTTTATTCCACGTATCATGGTTTCCCAAAACTAATTTTAGGTAAAACATAAATTCACATTTTTTTTTTACCTCAGTAATTACATGTTTGTTTTAATGTTTATTAGAAAAAGATCTAAGCATGCATCAAGCCTGTAACTTCACAGATGATATCACACAGAATGAGACTGTTTTGTAAAATAAATTTAGAGGAAATATATGAAGTAGATAATAGTTGAGGTGGTAATAGAAAAAATCATAAATCCCAGTGGCTCAGGAGGCTGAGGCAGGAGGATTGCAAGTTCAAAGCCAGCCTCAGCAAATTAACAAGGCCCTAGAGAAAGAGAAAATCATAAAGATAGTCCCTAACTGCCTGAGGTTTGGAAGACATAATACAACAATTCCAAGCAGCCTCATTTTCAGCTGTATGAGCCTAGCTTTCATGTAGGGTCATGATAATAACAACAGACTAAGGATCTTGGACCTGGGTTTAACATTACCTTTGTGAACTTGGGCATTTCATTTGCTGTCATTGGGGCTCAGTTTCCTCATCCAAAAATAAAAAGAAATAGTGATTTAGTTCATTATTATAGCCCTTTGAAAGCAATTTGATGATAATATCAAGAACCATAAGGCCAGCATAATGGCTCACACTGGCAATCCCAGCTATTCAGGAGGCTGAGGCAGGAGGATCACAAGTTTGAGGCCAGACCCAGCAACTTACAGAGGCCCTAAGCAACTTAACAAGACTCTGTTTCTAAATAAATAAATAAATGGGGCTGGGGATGTAGCTCAATGCATGTAGCCCCATCCAAGTACTCCCACGTTCCATCCCAAGTACAGAAAGAAAGAAAGAAAGAAGAAACAAGAACTGTTCTTAAATTTCCACTAGTATTTCCACTTTCGGAACTCTCTTCCAATGAGAGAGATTTTTATTCTCTTTCCCAAGAAAATAATCCAAAATTTAGAAAAAGTTATAAAAATGAAAAACTTTTGTCAGTGTCTAAACATAAAGCAACCTAAAGATTCAGCAATGGGAAAACAGTTAAGTAATTTGGAAAACAGATACTTGTTGCAGTCATTAAAAATATCTATTATGGGGCTGGGGTTGTGGCTCAGTGGGAGAGCACTTGCCTGCCATGTGTGAGGCCCTGGGTTCGATTCTCAGCAGCGCATATAAAATAAAATAAATAAAATAAAGGTCTATCATCACTAAAAAAAATAAATTCTAAAAATATATCTATTATGAAGATGAAATATCATCATGCTCTATGAAGGGGGGTAGAAATCCGTTTGTGTACTGTGGTTATCCCTACATAAAGAAAACCATATATAGATCACACACCAAAATACCAACATTTAGTAAGAACAGTGAGTTTTTTGTTATATCTCAAAACTTTCTCCAATATAGTTGTATTACATTTAGAATGAAAACCCTCCTCAATTAAGGGATTCAACTAAATGGTCTCTAAGATTCTTTCTTGCTCTTATATTGTGTGGGGTTTTTTTGGTGGATCAAGGAGTAGAGGTCATGCACAAGTGAAATATGAGAAAAGGGTAGCCAGCCGAGGCTACGCCTGTTTACTTTTACAACTCTCTAAATAGCATGAGAACATTTGAAAACTAGCACTTGGGGAAATGATGTAACACCCTCCATCTGTGTAGCAGAAAGGGCACAAGTCTGGGAAATAGGAACCTGAATTGGACCAGACGATCTCTAAGGGCCCTCTCCAAATTAAATTGTCCAGCCACTCATTTGAACAAACGTTTACCAAATGCCTGCCGTGTGCCAGGAGCAAAGTAGCTGAATGACTACTGAACTGTTGGTTCTAAGTCTAGTGATGGAGAATGATTTTGTTTTAGGATCAGCATAACAAAATTTCATAGACGGGGCGGTGGCTTAGACAACAGAAATTTATATTCTCACAGTTCTGGAGGTTGGAAATCCAAGGTCAGAGGTTCCGCAGGTTTGGTTCTTCTACTTGGCCTGCAAATGGTTGCTGTCTTAGTTTGGGCTGCTATGACAAATCACCACAGGTTGAGTGGCTTATAAACAACAGGAGTTTATTCCACAGTTCTGGAGGCAGGACTTCTGAGATCAGAGTGTCAGTATGATTAGGTTCTGATAAGGGTCCTCTTCCAGGTTGCACAGAGTTAGCTTCTTGTGTCTTCACATGACAGAAAGAGTGAGAAAACCCTCTGGGTTCCCTTTTATAAGGGCACTAATCCCATTCATGAGGGCCGTACCTTCATGACCTAATTATTTCCCAAAGACTTCACTTCTTGATACATTGAGTATTAAGATTTCAACATACACACTTCACGGGGACACGAACATTCAGTTCATAATAGCCACCTTCTTACTGGATCCTTGCAGGGCCATTCTGCTGTGTACACACACTCCTGTGTGTCCAAATCTTATCTTCTTAAAAGGACATGGCTCAGTGAGTTAGGGCCCACCAAACAATCTTATTTTAACCTAATCAGCTCTTTAAGGACCCCATCTCCAAAAAACAGACATTCAGAGATACTGGAAGTTATGAGTCTTAATCCCAATGACTTGGGAGACTGAGACAGGAGGATCAAGAGTTCAAAGCCAGCCTCAGCAACAGTTAGGTACTAAGCAACTCGGTGAGACCCTGTCTCTAAATAAATACAAAATAGGGCTGGGGATGTGGCTCAATAGTCGAGTGCCCCAGAGTTCAGTCCCCAGTATCCACCCCCCAAAAAGACAAAGGCAACCCTGTGAAGGCATAATCGACTCCAATAGGAAATATTGCTGTACAGAGTGCACTCTGCAGAGGATGTATCCTCTGGGCTCAGCACCTTATTGTTTTGATTCCCTCCGCTAGCCCCTCCTCCGAGAGCTGGTGAGAATCTCAAGTCTATAAGCCATCATCCTTGATTGTCAGAAAACTATTTTAAAGCCAGGTGTAGTGGCACAAGCCCATAGTCCCAGCCATTTGGGAGACTAAGGCAGGAGGACTGCTTGAGTCCAGGAGTTCAAAGTCAACCTGGGCAACACAGTAAGACCCTGTCTCAAAAATATATAAATTTTAAAGCTGAGCACAATGTTACACGCCTGTAATCCCAGTAGCTCAGGAGGCTGAGGCAGGAGGATGGTGAGTTCAAAGCCAGCCTCAGCAAATTTTCGAGGCCCTAAGCAACTTAGCAAGACCCTGTCTCTCAATAAAATATATAAAAAAAAAAAGCGCTAGGGATGTCATTCAGTGGTTAAGCGCCCCTAGGTTCAGTCCCCAGTAGCAAAACAAAAAAAGATAGATAGACAGACAGATAGATAGATAGATATTAACCCAATAAAATCAGCTTGGATAGAGGCCAAAAGCGGAGTGTGTTTGTTCCAGAGGAACACATGCAAATACCATCCTCGTATAGTTTGAACTGGAATTGTGAATCCAAACACAGTAATTTGGAGGTCAGGTGGAAATCTTGGTTAATGGAATAATGAGATCCTTGTTTTCACTCCTGAAGTCATGAGGATTTGAACGTAGGGGACAAGGAGAGGGTGTACAGTCCTGATAACCCCTAACCTTTTGTCCTCTCTTCCATCAGAGTCCTTTCTTTCTTCACCAACCTTCAGCTCAGCTTTTCTCTAAGCCAGATTTTAAAACTCTTATTCTTTATCCATTTAAAACACTCCTCTCTTGAAGAACCCTAGATCCCCAGAGCAAATAAAGAGATGAAACGGAAATTCTTGACCTAGGTAGCACAATAGGGGGTTTCTGTTGGCCCCTTCCCTTTCCGGTGCCTGGAAGTGACCTGTTTCCTTCCAACAGGGGTCGCCAGAGGCAACAGGGACCAACGCCAGGCTTCTGGGAGGAGGCTCCTGAAAGGCAGCCAAGAATGTGAGTGCAAAGGTCAGTAACTCAGCATGGACACAGCCCTGGCACCACAGTGACCCCAGCTCTCCCCCTGGAGCCCCTCTGAGAGCAGGGCAGATGTTCTCCGAGCTGACCTCAGCATCCAAAACATGCAGCACCCTTGCCGGCTTGCTTTCTGAGTTTCAGGCAAGAACTGGACTCCTCCAAGGCCTAGTGGGGAGCTGGCCAAAATTCAGGCTGTCCTCTTCCCCTTCCTCTTTACCCCAAAAAATCTAGGGCTGTCTTCCAAAAGGATTGTCACATTTTCCTGGCTTTCCAAAAGCATCCTAGATCCTATTCTCAGCCTCACTGAACTCACAAAAAAAAAAAAAAAACCTGAAAACAGAGATAAAATGATTTGCCCAAGGTATAGCAGCCCTCCAAAGATAATGCCTACGTGCATGAATGATTCTGTCAAAATAAACCCAACTATTATGTATAACTATAATGCACTAATTAAAAAAAAAAAAAGATATTGCCAGGCTCAGTGATGCACACTTGTAATCCCAGTGGCTTAGGAGGCTGAGGCAGGAGGATCACAAATTCAAAGTCAGCCTCAGCCATTTAGTGAGGCCCTAAGCAACTCAATGAGACCCTGTCTCTAAATAAAATATTTAAAAGGTCTGGGGATGTGGCTCAGTGGTTGAGCACCCCTGGGTTCAGTCCCTAGTACAAAAAAAAGATAATGCCTAGATCTTACTGTTCATTCTGTGATTTTCCCAATGCTATCTCCCTCTAAACCAAATCTTTAGAAGTCAGTAAAACAGTTCATAAATCCTGGTGTTCAAATAGCTGGAGGTTTCCAGCTGTTCTGCGTTGACCCCTCTCCCCACCCCCACTGCAGTGTAGAAAAGGAAACGCCCCCCCCCCCCTACTTCCCAACGCACCGACCCTCCTGTCTGAGCAGCAGCCTGTTATTTCAGATTGGTTCCTGAGAGCCTCTAAGAAAAAACCCATGACAGCAGCCGGGCTGCCAAAGAAGCGATGTCCCTGTGATCATTCTACAGTCAGCGTGAAGAAAACCAGTAAGTTTCAACAAACTGGCCTTCCTTAAACCAAAGTCACTCCTGGGTGTCACTAGGGATGGAGCAGAGGCTGAGAACAGAAGAGGAGTGGACGCCAGGAAGGAAAAGCACACGTCTGGGCCCTGGGTCCTCAATGCCGACCTGTGAAGAAAGAAGAAGACAGGGAAAGCAGGGTACAGCCACCTGGTCCTGGAAAGGGTTAGCCAAATTCCTAGGTTTTAGGCCTTCGATGCTTATCAAAGTGGAGGGAGAAGGGGTATTAGGATCTGATCATTGATTTCTGAAGATGACACCAGTGTTAGGGTCAACAGAATATGACTCCTCCCCTGCCTAGGGAGGCTGGTTTGGGTTTGGTTAGTTTGGGGGATGAGATCTTGTCTTGTTGCTCAGACACACAATCTCCTGCCTCAGCCTCCCGAGTAGCCAGGATTACATGGTTGTGCCACCACACACAACTAGTCTAGTAGGTTTTAAGAATTATCAAGAATGGGATAAATCTGGATCCTTATACTCTCTTGATGGAAGTGAATTTGGCAGTACCTATAAAATTTTTAAATGAGTATACCTTCTGACCAGTAGTCATATTTCGAGAAATATGATTATTAAAGATATTAAAGAAATTATTAAAGATACATATGTAAACCAGATATAGTGGCACAGGACTGTAATCCTGGCTACTTGGGAGACAGAAACAGGAGGCTCACAAGTTCAAGGTCAGCCTCAGCAATTTAGTGAGATCTTATCTCAAAATAAAAAGGGGTGGAGGTGTATCTCAGTGATAGTGCATCCCCGGGTTGAATCCCCAGCACCAAAAAACAAAACAAAGCAAAAAAAAGATATATGTACAAAAACTACAGTAGTATTTTTCTTGAAAAATAAATGGGGGTAAATGTTCATCAAATAAAATTGGGCAAATCTGCAGCTGTCAAAAATAATGAGGTAAATTATAATATATTGACTGAAAAGAAATTCATGATATATTAAGTAAAAAAATAAGTTTAAGTTGATTTGAGGGGCTGGGGTTGTGGCTCAGAGTAGAGCACTCAACTACCATGTGTAAGGTACCAGGTTCGACCTTCAGCACCACATAAAAATAAAATAAAGATATTGTGTCCACCTATAACTAAAAAATGAATATTTTTTAAAAATGTGAATTTGAAAGACAAATTCATAAGAAGGAAGGATTTTGTAAACAGAATACAAAATGTACAAACCATAAAGGAAGAGATTGATAAACCTGATTTCATTGAAATTTTAAATTTGTAATTATCAAAATAATACAATGACAAACTACAGAGTTGGAGATGATATCTGCAACATATATAACCCACAGAGGATTAGTACTGCCATGTGTAATCCCAGTGACTCAGGAGGCTGAGGCAGGAGGATTGCAAGTTCAAGGCCAGCCTCAGCAACTTATCAAGACCATAAGCAATTTAGTAAGACCCTGTCTCTAAATTAAACAAAAAGAAGAAAGAAGAAAACAAAACAAAAAAGATTAGTATTTAGTACTGAGAATACATAAAATATTCACACAAATCAACAACAAGAAGGCAGGCAATACAATGGATAGGTTAAAAGAGTTAAATAGTCACTTCTCAGATAAGGAAATCCAAATAGCTAACAAACATGTGAAATGACACTCAAACTTATTATTGGAAAAATGTAAATTGAATTCCAAACAAGATCATCACTGTTTCATCAGCAAATTGGCAAAAACTTTAAAGTCTGACAAGTTTAAGTGTTGCCAGAGAGTAGAGCAAAGAAACTCTCAGATGCTGCTAATGGGAGTGTAAGTTGGTAAATCACTTTGAAAAACATTGATGGTTATTTTCTAAACTTTAAACTATGTGGCCAAGCAATTTCACTATCAGGTATATACTCAAAAGTACACCAGGAGACGTGTATGACAATTTCATAGCAGCATTGCCATAACTACCCTAAACTGGAAACTGACCAAATGTCCATTGACAGTAGAATGAATAGGTAAGTCATAATACATTAGAATATTTGTGTGCACACGCGTACACACACATCAGCGTGAATGTACAATCCCTAACAATATAAATAAATCTTGCCCCCATAATTTTGAAGGAAGAAAACAAGACACAGGGAGTAACTACAGTATGTTTTTGTGTACTGTCTTTATTTTACTTTATTTATTTTATTTTATTTTATTTTTGGTAGTGGAGATTGAATCCAGGGGCATTTAACCACTGAGCCACACCCTCAGCCCTTTAACGTTTTATTTAGAGACAGGGTCTCTAAGTTGCTTAGGGCCTCTCTAAGTTGGTGAGGCTGGCTTTGAACTCCCAATCCTCCTGCTTCAGCCTCCCAAGCTGCTGGGATGACAGGTGTGCGCCACTGTGGGAGACCAACCTTACACGACTGAGTCACACTCCCCGGCTGGGTCCTGAGGCGCTCTGAGGTGCTCGGTTGAAGAAATGTGGCAGAGCTTTCCCCACCCTTCTTGGGTCCGAGGGTCGAGGGTCGGTGTCTCGTGCATGGGTGTGTCTTGCTACAGCCCCATGGGTTTGTAATATAACCCCTTTCCCTGTTTAAGATAGAATCTTCCATGGAAGATTACTGTGCCCTTGGGTATGGCCTACCCAGGTGTCAGTCAACCTGCTGACAGTGGACATCATGAAGATACTCAGCCCCCTGAAACCTGACCCCTTGCCTCATTTGAATAGCTTCTCCTCAATAAAAGGGGTCAGCCGCGCTCTCGCTCTCTCTCTTCCTGTGGACCCTTAGGGTCAGAGGAGCCGTCACAGCCACCCCAAAGAAAAAGGTATTGTGTCTCTTGTGTGGTTATTTTGCGCAGCCCAGTTTAACTGGAGTGACCCCTGAGCCTTTTAGTCGCGAGAACAGAAACCCGGCACGCCCCCATGCCCAGCCATCATGTACTGTCTTATTCCATTTGGACTGCTATAACCAAATACCATGGATGGGATGGTTATAAACAACAGAAATTTATTTCTTACAGTTCTGGAGATTGGGAAGCCCAAGATCAAGGTGTTAGTAGATTCAGGGTCTGCTGAGGGCCCACTTTCTGCTTTATAGATGATGGCTCCTAGCTGTGTCCTCACATGGCAGAAGGGACGAATCAGCTCTCTTGGCCTCTTTTATACGGCCACTAATCCCATTTATGAGAGTTCTGCCTCTATACATAACTTTATGAATTTCTACACATGTATAATATTGTTTATAATAAAATATTTGTTCAGGGTGAAGGGCAAAGCAATACATATGGCATAATTTTTTATTTTTTAAACTAAACTATTATGTTTATTAAAAGATTTGGGGAAATATTTGACAAACTTTTAATGATGGTTAGCTCTAAGGAGGAGGGTATAGTGTTGAGGTTATAGGAAGCATTTTGCTTTTTGCTGGATAAATTTTTTTCATTTAAATATTTTCCACTGTACAAGTCTTACTCTTATAATTTTAAAAGCACTCATAAGCCAGGTGCACACACCTGTAATCCCAGCAGCTTGGGAAGCTGAAGCAGGAGGACCTTGAGTTCAAAGACAGCTTCAGCAACTTAGCAAGGCACTTAGCAACTCAGCAAGACCCTGTCTCTAAGTAAAATATTTAAAAGGGCTGGGGATGTGGCTCAGTGGTTAAGCACCCCTGGGTTCAATTCTCAGTATCAAAAAAAAAAAAAGCACTCATAAAAATTCAATTTTAGGGCTGGGGTTATGGCTCAGTGGTAACGTGCTTGCCTAGCATTCGAGAGGCAGTGGGTTCGATTCTCAGCACCACATACAAATAAATAAAATAAATGTCCATCAACAACTAAAAAAAATAAATTAAAAAAATAAATTTTTAAACATGCTTTTAACATTGACCCCCCCTTTATTTGTACCCTAGGACACCGAAGGCACCACAGGAAGTCAAACAAGCATTCCAGAGCCTGCCGGCAATTTCTCCAACAATGTCAATTAGAAAGCTTTGCTCTGCCCTTGTAAGAGCTCTGAGATGAGAGCCTTCTCTCCACAAATTCTCAGCCAAAAAGGCAGTGGACCCAAAGCATGTTCTTATTCTTCCCCACTCCCTGTCCCCCCACCTCCACCATCATTCCAGTCCTATCAGATGGCACCTTTTTCCAACATCATGGATTATTGCTCCCTCTAGTGCAGCCTCCTCTTGCCAGTCTTTTTCTGTGCCCTCCCTTACCTGGGCTTCAGCTTAACTATGTGAAAGGATCTAGGAAACCCCACTCTCCTTGCTGGTCTCACTTATCATTAAATACCACCTGGAAAGTAGCAAACAGAAATCAATAAATGTTTTTAAATGTACTAGGTCAAAATCATTTCTTCTAAATGGGGTCTGACAACTCACACTGAATCCAGATGACTCACTTTACCCTGTTCATGCCAAACCCAACCCGGATTCTCCACCTACTTCTCCCTGCTCATGACCCTCAATCTTTCTCCACTGCCCAACTTTTTATTCTTTCACTCAATCAACAAACCTTTCTGAAGTAAGAGTAGGTGGAGCAAAGCAGGTATAGCCATGAATCAGACATTGTCTTATTAAGGAACAATGTAGGTTAAAAAAAGTCACAGTTTCCTAGCATATAGGCGGCCTTCAGTATTTATGATTGCTATCATCATCATCAATAGCCATTGTATTCTGTGGGTTTCTAGAAAGATGGTGTGGAGGATCTCCAATGCTATTCAAAAGAGCTTCAAGTTGTAAAAATGGGAGGACCTCATGGGGTTTTCTTAGTAAGGATGTGAAATCACTATAAAAAGATTAAACTGGTAACCACTTTTAAGAATGAATAAAGAGGGAAAATGTATTACAAGTATAGAGACTGCCTCCCCCTTTAGCTCTTTCCTCAAACATCAGAAGGGGGGGGTATCAAGGAACACTCATCCAGAATCTGGTTTCTATCACCCCAGATGAAATAGAAGACTAAATTGGGATGCTATGCTTGCCTTATGAGAAAGTACATTTCAACTGGGTATTGAGTGGGGTGGGGCTCTATTTATGACACAAGAGGGCAAGCCCCTCCCTCTGGTAAGAGAGTGCTGGGCACACAGCTTCTTCCTGTTCCTAATCCCTCCCACCCACAGTAGAAGGCACAAAGTGTATCACTTGGCCCAGGAGTGGGGAGCCAGCAGGGATCCACCCCCTAGCCAGATGCCTTAAAACGAAAGACCAGGGATGCCAGGATGAAGGGCAATGGCATCATGACAGATCCGTGAAGAGGGAGGTCTGGGGTTGGGGGAGCCAGGAGGATGAAACCTGGAAGATCAGCATCTCCCATGAGGGAAATAACAACAGTGGAACCAGGTTCTAAGTCAGTATCCATGTCAGACTGGGAACCTGAGCCACACCAGAAACCTATAACCCAGCCAGAGCCCTCAGCCAACTCAGGATTGAAACCTCAGCACGAATCCAATACCCAACAGGAGTTTGCATCACAGCAAAGACGCCTCACCCAGCAGGAGCCCCTTGCCCCAAATGAAGCTGAATTCCAGCAAGAAACTAGAGCCCAACAAAAATCTGCTTTGCACCTGAAATTTCTTAAACTACAGAAATCACCCTCCACCCCACTACAGAAATCACCCTCCACCCAAAAGGTGTACGCCAAACAACAGGAAGCTGCCTCTCAGCAAGGACATGGCCCAGGACAAGCGTGTACAACTCAACAGGAACCAGAATTTAGAGACAGAGATGTAGCCCAGTCAGGATCTAGACCATCTCTAGCTCAACAAGATGCAGAATTAACACCTACCACCCAGGCTATCCCTGGACTCAAAAAGAGACCATCTGTCCAGGCTGAATTTACATCCCAAGAAAGAACTGAACAGTCAGACCACACAGCCCAGCAAGTACCTCCAACCCAGCAAACCAAATCCAGGAAGGGATTTTTGACTGAGTGGAAATTTCTAACAAGACTGTACGAAGTCACTACACAGCAAGTAACTCAAGAACAGAAGACATTTTTTGAACGCCTCACAGATTATGACTTAGAATCAAATGGGAGGCCATCTTCAGAGACAGATCCGCCAAGTATGAGGGATGGAACAAGCACCCCAGAAATGAAGCCAGCCTTCAAAAAGATACCGGATTATGATTATGAAGCCATGTCAGGATACCATGGGACACCATTACATGGAAAGAAAACCAGTGCCCAGAATCACAGGCACTACCAGGACACAGGTGAGTCAAACTTAGATCTGGAGTCTTTCAAGGTCAGTCATCCATTTATTTAAGAAATACTAAGAATTTACCATATGTCAGATTAGCTCAGCTCATCCTTCAACAATTCTAAGAGATAAAGCTCAATTATCCCCATTTTATGAAGATCAACATTCTCATCTTAATCATAAGGAAAGATCTTGTACAAGATGGTACAGTTAGGATGCCCCAAGCCCAAGATTCGAGCCAGGGCCTGACTTTCTCACCTGCTGCCTCCCTAGGGAGGATTTGGGAGTAAATCAAATAGAGGTAGGAAAGAGCCATCTCCCTCCCAGTATTCATCTATCCATCCACAAAAACTGACCAGAGAGCCAGCTCTGGGGCAGAAACTACTATAAGCACCAGTAATACAAGGGTGTCTGTAGACCTTACCCTCCTGAATTTCCATGCAGTCTAGGCCCAACAACCAGGCATTCATGACCTCAGTGTGCCTGACCTCTGCTACCAGGGAGGCACTTGCTCTCCTTCCAGCTACCCCCATAGGGTTCAGCCAGGCTGAATGGCCCTGAGGCTGAGTTCTCAAGAAGGAGGAACCTGGGAGAGAAAAACCATGGCCACCAGTTTCCCTGGCAAGGTCAAGGAATAATGGAAAGAAAGCTGGGGAACGGTATCAGCAAGTATTGGGCACAAAACTTTCTGGAGCTCCTCGGAAGCAGACAATAGTGACTCCCGGATGCAGGCTGCAGCTCTAGAGCTCCGGCCCTCATCTTCCTCCCCTTTAGGCTCAAAACCCAGCGGTGGAGAAGGGGGTATGCAAATTTTATCCAGGGAATTGGGGGTTACTTGTTGAGGTATCATCAGTTGGGGGTGGAATGCAGCCCTAATCCTTAAGCTGAGGGCATGTTGGCCATGGTCTGGAGCAGAGGGGCTGGGCCGAGCCTCTCAGAGCTGAGAATTAGGTATACTTTGGAAGGAAGAAAGGCAGCATGCAAATAAGTGGTCTGAGGCCTGCTTTTTCCAGGGCGAAGGATAAAAGTCTCTCTAGGCCTCCAGATCCCTGTGCCACGCCACGCTTGCTGACTAGGCTGCTTCTCTATAGGCGAGCAAGCCTCGTGCCTCCAGTTTCCCACCTTTTCCTAGGGAGGCGCGCTCCTCCTACTTCCCTTCCTCTCAGGGATTCAACCCCTTGCCTTAAGTGGTGTGCGTGCTCCAAGTACTCGACCTTCCTCCTCCCCTCCATTCTTCCGGGGGAGGAGGAGGGCAAGGGGAAAAAAAAGAGCGAGAAAGAGAGAAATACTAGGACTAGGAGACAGAGGAGGGAAGCAGGGGCTTCTTCCTCAACAGCTCTCAGGCACAACCACGCCTCCAGTGCGGGCCCTGCCTGGGTTTTGAGTTGCCGAAGGACCTGGCCCACCCCCCACCCCACCCCCAGGAGGAGGCGCAGCAGTGCCGGGTCTCCCCCATCCTCCAGCGGACCCGCTGGGCCGCATTCTAAGGATCCCTCTTTAGGAAGGTGAGTGGGATAGCGAGACTGAGCATCAGCACGTGTGAAAATCGGGGTTTCCCTGTTAGGGGTGAGCCCTCCGGGCTCTTCGCTAGTCCGGAGCGAAGGACACTATGACGCCTCCAGGGCTGCATTTTTGTTGGCTGCGGGCCCTTTAAGGCGTACGAGGAGGCGGGGCCGGTCCCTCTTCGCTAGCGGTTAGGGGCGTGTCCTGGCAGTGGAGAGCGACCACGATTGCTCAGAGGGCGGGACCCAAAGAGCAGCAAGCCCGGGATTGGTTGGTATGGGGGCCCGGCGGTGGTGTGTAGCGAGGATTGACCCTCCGGGCGGGTCCTGGCAGCTAGCATTGGGTCCGGCTTGGGAATCACAGAGAATTGATGGAGTCATCCGAGGAGACCTCGAAGAATGGCAAAGAGGGGTTGAAGAGCCACAATCGCCGGCGGTGGCGAAAAGACAAGGGCAAAGGTGAGCTCGCGGGCACCGACCGTAGCCCGGAAAGAACCTCACACACCCTACGGGGCTCTCGGGACCGAGTAGACAGAACCACCGCCACGAGAGTTGGGGGAACCACGGACTGGCCCATTGCCGCCTTGCGTCGGGGCGGACGACCCACTATGAGAAGGGGAGAGGTGAGAGTGGAATGTCCCACTCAGGCGTAGAGACTACCGGGCGCCCTACTGCCGTCTTGGGCGCAGAGTCCGGAATGCGAGTCTCTTGGACCTCGGTTCCCGTGTGACCTAGGGCAACCGCTGTCCTTAGTGTTTCTGCCTGGAAAATGGTTCAAGCGCTGGTTTTCAGGTCACCAGCACTCTTGAGAAGATAAAGGGTAAGGGGTCTAGCAGCTGTTACCCAAAGAGAAAGTTTAGGGGTGAGTCAGGGAAAGGGTGTCAGAATTGGAAATGAAGGGGGGCCAGTTGAGCTCATCAAAGCCCCAGTCTCCCACCCTCAGTCCATCCATTCGTCCATTCATTGTCGGTCCACCCGCGTCATCCCAGCTACACTGGGGCCTAACCTCCCAACGCCCACCATTTCTAGGACTAGGGTCTCTAGTTTGGGTTTGGACCTTCATACCCTCCCTAAGGAGAAGGAGGGAGGGCTGTAGCATTGGGTTCTCTAGATCTCAAGAGGCTGGAGAAAACTAACAGACCAATGGAGATGCTAAAAGCCTCAGGCAAGGGCATTAAGCCCTGGCTCAGCTGAGTCTTTTAACAATCTCTATGAGGATCTGTGGGAAGTTCCTAAGCAGGAAAGAAACTGACATGGTTCTCCAGCTCCAGGGACCTCAAACTGTCGTGCTCCCTGCCTGCATTAGCCAAGGATAGAACTGCAGTTGGCTCCAGTGTACACACACATGCAGCTCAGACAGGCTGAGAGTTCAGACTGGAGTCTCAGGACATTCGCTCTCCCACAAGACACAGGAGCCTCATAAGCAAGACAGACACATACCCAGAGGCAATACAGATTATGGTTAACAACCAGGGTGTTGGAGTACTTGCCTAGTGTCTGCCTGAGGCCCTGGGTTCCATCCCCCAGCACTGCAAAAACAACAACCTGAGTATTGGAGACCTGGCTCCTCATTCTGAGAGTTGTGACATATTGGGCAACAGCCTTTTTCCTGAGCTCTAAAATGGGCATCACCAT